GGCCCCAGGCCAGAGATTCCGTGCCAAGCCCGATTTAGGGTATCCTCCATTTGAGGTGCTTTTAGAGAGGGCCCAACTCGTGCATATTGCAGTCTGCTCAGAGAGCCGTGTCCAGTTCTGGGGGGGATGTGGAAGGGCAAAGCTGAGCATTTCAAAGTTCCCGAGTGAAGATTCTCCTTCAGGAGTTGCGAGGTGGAACAAGCAGGCCAATCGCGGAGAGCCTGGGATTCCTGCCATCCAGCCTTCCAGCAACAGGAGCCACCCTGAGGTTGGAGTCAGAAGGACTTTTCTGAACGGGATGAAGGAGGGGAAGATTCCGTTTGGATTCGGTGTTTCATATGGGCAGGTGCTTCTCACAGATCTCCAGGAGGATGCTACTCTGATTAACACCGCTCTGTCACCTGTTTTAATAAAAGGATGTGCTTCTGTAGTTTCATCTGGCTCTGCTGGAGAGGGAGAGGTGGTGGGAGAGACCTGCTCATGACAGGGCTCTCAGACCAAGTCCAGCCTAGAGACAGAGGGTCATGTGAAGCTGCCCATCAGCAATTAGTAGTTGGACAGCAGATGGAACAGCTAGATTTTATTGATCTCATAATAAGTTTAACTTTTGTATTTTTGTGCTTTAATTTTATGAATTTTAATATTGCACCCACCTTGAGCCCCAGTCACTGGGAATTTGCAGGATATAAATGTGCATTATGGTGTCAGTCCGATGATCCATGCCACCTATGAACCTCTGATATATCTGGGCTTCTGCTTCAACTTTTACGAAAGGTGCCTGTGCATGGGATGTGCACGCACCAGTTGATCACCCAGCCGTTGAGCAGCAGTGGCAGAGCAGTGTACCAAACGGCAGTGGGCACGTTTTGGTACTTGTGCCAAACAGACACTCGGTATGTGGCCCATGGGTCCCACTGAGGTGCCGAGCTGAGGACCAGAGTCCTTTTAGCCCAATAATTAATGCATCCAGCTCTGCCTCTGGTACATTTCTACAGGTATGCTTGGCTCACTCAGCCCTGGAAGCATGCCACCTATGAGGTGAAAGGACCTGCAGCTGGACAGCCATGGAGCTGGGCACAATGCTCAGTTTTTGTTGCCCCACTGCCAAGGAGGGAAGGAACACCACGTTGTTGTGCCACAAGACTGCGGTAGCATCTCCTCTCTGCAGCTGGCACCTGGGTGGCCACATCCTTCACCTGGTCCCAGTGCCGGCCCTGATGAACATGCAGCAAAAAGTGGGAGTTTACCAAGTCAAAGAACTAGCCTATTTGCAAAAAATGTTATCTCACAGTTGCAAAAGAAATATCAAGCCAGTGGAGTTTGTTGCCTAGCCTGGCATTGCACACTGGGCAGCTGGCCCAAATTTCCTAGCCCCGTTGTTTGCTATTCCTGTGCAAAGTGCATGTTGCACTACATTTGCAGGTGGAAAGCAACAGAGTGGAGCAGAAGGACTTGATCTTTTACCTACTGTTTTTCCTTGGAAATCCCTTGCCTGTTTTCCCCTAACTTGAGGTTCTGAGATGTGTTTATCCAACAAATGTGGGAGAACGGTTATTGGAAAGCCAGAGGAAAAAAGCAGTAAGGCAATAATTTAAGCACACACACCTTCCCACAAACTCTTTGTCCACTCTTCCTTTCTTTTCTTCTCTCATTCTGATTTGGCTTCACAATGATGGCACATAGCCAGCAGCTATATCTGAAGGGTTTGGGTCATGTATTCTGCCCAAATTGGCCAATCTTGTGGGTAAGAATGTGGCCAAGAAAATCCAGAAGTGCAGTCTTTGCCAGCAGAAAGCAGGGCAACACATTCCTCTCTTTCCAGGGATCTTTTAAAACCCAGTAGAACAAGGACCCTTGTCTGCAAACTGCGAAACAGGCTGGTGTCACTGCAGCAGACCATTTTGGTTCAGACCTCTTGTGTGCTAATCTCTCCAGGTGAGCTGACTAAAATCACATCTGTTCCTGGGGCAGGTGGCAGCGGTCATTTTTAATACTGAAAGCTCACTGAAGAATCCAAAGGTAATAAAAACCTTTGGAGCAAACAAAGAAGGTGTGTTGCCTCTGTCTACAATAGCTGAATGGGAAAAGCTGCTTCTAGGCAGCAGGTCACCTGTGCATAGATAAAGGTAATGAAAAGCTCCTTCTTCTTTCTCTTTCTTGCATTGTCCAACACATCATCCATACAATAATTTACTCCACATCACAGAAAACCCTCCAAAGTAGACTTTAGGGGTACTACTGATTAATTGCTACTGATTGTGGCTTGCGTGCTGGATGATGCATTTGCCTTCCTCAAGAGGAGATGCTCCACTGACAGAAGGTCCCTCTGTCTGATTTTGGGGATCTCCTCCCATCACACCTCACCCCATCCAGCACTGCATTCATTTATTGAAGTAGGCTACATAGTGTATCAAACACAGATTCACAGACTCATAGTACAGAAGAGTTGGAAGGAGCCAATAAGGGGCCAAGCAATGCAGTCAATGCAGAACTCCATGTTAAAGCATCCCTGACAGATCGCTGTCCAGCTGCAACAGGAATGCCTCCAGCGTGGGAGAGCTTATGCCTTCCCTAGGTTATTGGTTCCATTGTTATATTGTTCTCAGTCAGCAAGTTTCCTGCGGTGCAGCAAGAATCTGTCTTTCCTGTAATTTAAGCCCTTTATTCCATGTCCTGTACTCTGGGATGACTGAAAAGAGATCCTGGTCTCCTTTGTGCAATAACCTTTCAAGTATCTGGAAAATGCTATCATATCTCCCGTCAGTTTTCTCTTCTAGAGGCTAAACATGCCAGTGCTTTCAGTCCTCCTCATAGTTAGATCTTCCACCAGGTGCTTGTGGCAAAAGTCATAATACACTGGACATGGGCATTCTCATTACAGGAAAACAGGCTTGAAGTAAAGCCAAGCTACTTCTCTTTGGTCCAGTCTTTCCCATACTGCAGGAAACAGGCAATGCAGGCAAAGACAAAACAGTGAGCTTCACTTCACCAATGGAAGATGAAGGGAACTTAGCCAGCTTCAGTAATCCCACCTCTTTCCTGCAATGGGGAGAAGAGACAGGGCAGGAGAAACAGCTTTCCTCTGCCCCTCATCTTTATCGTTATCTCTAGTCTTAGGTGGAAAATAACAGCAGGGTTCCTGTTGCCAGTGCTCACCACCACTGGGGGAAACCAAGCCCTGATGCCACTGACTATAAGATAGGTTGGCATGCCCGGTGGGCCAGATCCTGTCTCTAGATCCTGCACCCCTGACTTCAGCAACCAAGCTCACTGGTGAATGCTGCTTTAGCTAGGAATGTTCAGTTAAGTTCAGTCCTCTGAAAAT